TCCTGTAATATTACTTGTGACAGCTACAGTCTCACCGACGTCAGAAAGGTCACGCATCACGGCATCATTGGCAGTTGTTGCAACACTGTCACGCGGCAATGCCTCGATGTCACGCGATATAGCATCATTTTCCCTGATAAACGAGTCTGTTTGTTCGGTGAAACCAGAGGGATCCACTTCCGACAGGGAAGCTGAGTTTTCTGAAACGGATGCGTTTAATGGCAGTTCAGCGTCTTTCTCAAGTGCCGAAGACTCAGTAATAACTTCACTGGAGCCAAACACTGAAGGAGAAAAAGAAATTAATTTGTTTAGGGGACATGAATATAAATTTCCCTGCCAGCAATAGATGATCTGTTCTCAACTTTCATGCTCTTAAAAGCATCCTAAAAAAACGATGAATATATAAAAATAGATATAAAAATACAAAATGTCAGCTCTGTTAAGAAATACAGATAGCGAAAAAAATGGTCAACATCAGAGATCAAGGATAGGGCGAAAACAACGAAAACGGAAAAGGTTCGCTTAGACTTTCACAATTTACTTTATGAAATTGTTTTGTTTTTGTTGTAAAGTAACGGTAAAAACGATATATAAAATTACGCCTTTCTGACTCAAAACTAAATTCCTGTCATTTTTCAAGTAGACATGGTGCATGAGGAAATAACAAACCTATATCCTCATCTCCCGGCGGTTTTTCCTCAAATTCTGGCATCTTTTGTCCTTCGTCTGTCAATGCGTTGGGTTCCTCGTTTAACTGCTGAACTGCTTTCTGAAACTCTATCATCTTGTCCTTCTCATTACGAACTCGAGCTTTGGCCCGGTCAATCTGATTCAACACCATCTCAAATCGAGCAGCTGCTACATCATTGACAACATCTCCGGCAGCTTCCTGGCCGGTGGATACGTTTTGCTGTGCTGTTGCTGCTGAATACCCAGGAGCTTGGTACCATGACTGAGGCACCCCCGGCCTTTGGGGTCGGACATGCTGTTGGGTTGGGTAAGATGGAAGTCTAGCAGGAGGGGGAGGATAGCCACTGGTAGAAGTAGGAGGGTAACGTGAATTGACTTGGGGCATAGACTGAGATTGAGCATAGTTACTCATAACAGGTGATGTTGGTGGGGGAACAGAAGAAACAGCTGGAGCGGGGTAAACGGGTGGTACCCGAGGGGGTGGTAAGGCAGGGCGTGGTATCGCTGGGGGTGGTATTCCAGGAGGTGGCAGTCCAGGGGGAGGCATACGGAGAGGAGGTATACCAGGTGGAGGAATACCTGGGGGTGGTATCGCAGGGGGAGGTATCCTAGGGGGTGGTATTGCAAGAGGAACTACCCCAGGAGGTGGTATACCAGGTGGGGGTATAACTGGGGGAGGTATCCTAGCATATGGTACTCCAGGGGGTGGTATGGTAGGTGGTGTATAGGGAGGATAAGAACCTATGGGTGGTGGGAATGGAGCGGGAGGATAATATGAACCATAATAACCAGGGTAGGTAGGTGGAAAGCTGTTGAGAAAAGAAAAAAAGCAGAAATTACAAATTAGTATAACTCAGAAGACAGCCACTTGTAACACAGACGTGCTTAGGTTGAATAAAAGACAGCATGCTCACAAAAGTTTCAACTCTAGTCCATAATAACATATAATCTGGCAATGTGTCTGTGAATAACGGCAGGGATGCAGGTGACTGCTCTTAGCAGGTGAGCCTACTGACTAATTTTCAAGACAGACAATCTCTGTAAGTGTGCAAGGGAAGCAGGAAGCCATAACAGAAAAGCCTTAAAAATCACCAACACTCTTTCAGAAGGATATCAAATGTGTCCAAATAAACAAACTACCTAAGAAGGCTTTGAGTATTTGTCTGCTTTAGTATCGGACTGGCATAACTTTGGCAGGCATCCTTTAACTTACCCAAGATGAGGCACTGGTGGTATAGGGGGAGGTACACTCACAGGGGGAGGGTACCCTGGAGGTGGAACACTTGGCCGGTGGTAGGGTGAGTAAACAGCAGGTGGTATGTATGGTGCATGAGGTGTCTGGAATGCAGTAGTGGGTGTTGATTTATAGGGCGTAGCTGCACTAGTGGCAGCTGGTGTACTAGCAGAGGATAGTCCAAAAATCATTTCAAGGTTTGTCATGGACCAGTTCAGGTTGAAGCCATATTGGCATTTCTGGCACTGAAAGGATGGAGGCTCACTGTCACCTAAAATGCAACAAATAAAAAGCAAATTAGACCTGGTATTGAAGCTGATCATCCAATAACAACCATAACAAAAACAAATGCTTAAATCATCGTCACCAATACTGAGAAATTAAAACAATAAAAATATTTGAAAATTATTACAGTTCACAATAACAATAAATTGTTAGTAAAAATAGTAATAAATCATTTAAACATCAAAGTTCTCCAACGTTCTTCCTGAGTTTTAAAAAGAGTTCAGTTTATTTGGAGTTGTAATGATGTCTAGATCTTCTATCTTCAGTATCTTGGTAGGTTCTTATTAGAAATGCAATAATGCACAAGAGTACATTGCGAATATTGTTAATAACAAAATATAAAAAACCGATGGAAAAAACACCAAAACAGCAGATTTGTTTGACTTCTTCTTTGTCCTTAGAACATCTTTGGAATGGCTTAACTTGAAACAGCATAGACGAAGATGGTGGAGTAGTGACGACAATCCAAGTCAGCGGCTGCTTTTATAAGTTACTGGCCATAAAATAAAAAGACCTCCCAAAGAATGAGTGGTTAATTGCCGGTCAAGAAATAATTAGAATTTGCTTGCACCGATCCTCTATATGATCATTTCGGATTTATCTCAAACTGATAGACCAGATTTCATTCTAACTGATTTATGAATCAGACAAATAACATAAGACCCTGATTAGACTTCAACATAGTACATGTAACACAAAGTTGAATGCAACCATTAAGAGAAGTGTTTCAGAGCTCATGATCAACAGTGGTCAGGTGGATACACACTGGTATTGTGCAGTATTGACTAGTGTGTTTTTTGCTACCCTTTTGGAGAGTGGACATTGTAGAGTACTTAATAAGGGGGATAAACCAAATGGTTGATGTCTCTGGTGAAAGGCGAAAGCAATTTAGAAAACAGGGGTAAATAGTGAGCTTGAAAAATTGGAATAGGATCTTTCAAAAGACAAAACTTATTGATTTGTGTTTATGAGTCTCAAAGACTTATTTCTCAACAGAATTCGCACCAGTCATTTATACCAAGTCTGGCAAATCAACATGCACCTAGGTTTTTCAAATTAAACCTCTTACCAGACATGATGCCGGCAAAATGAGAAGTTGTATGAAATCTCAAGCCTTAGATTTATTCATTTTTTCTGACAATTTGACAAGTCCTCATAAACACCACTACGGTGGGATCTTCAAAAGGGAAAACTACCTGTGTGTACTTTTAAAGTGGTTTCTCTTACTTTCAAGACATGATGTTTCTGAGTACAAACTTAAAGTATCATATAAAAGCCATGCACTGTAAAGTGGCCAGTTTATTTCAAGCATTATTATTATTATTATTGTTATTACTCTTTATCAAATCAAGCCTTGGTCAGCGAGTGGCACATTTTAAGTCCTAGCTCTTTCCATTCATGCCACAAATAATAGTAATTCAAATGCAGACACTGTTAAGATTCAATTCTTTGGAGAGCTTCCACATTAATATATTCTCAAAACTAGTTTAGGAAAATGTAAAAATTTTAGTTACTGCAAATACAATAAAATAACTATACAAGAAAATAACTAGTCTTAACGAGAGACAAGATGTTAAGAGGAAAGAGTTATTTCGCAACTTTCCAAAGGCCTAAACACTGCTGACCTCTCTGTGGCATCGGGGCTGGCAGTTTGTAACTCAAGTCCCAAATTCTGTTCTAAGCCAAAGCCATCATTCCAGTTGGTGAATCAATCATTCATTTATTGAAAACGAACCAAGTATAGAATACATTTCACAGCATATTTTAGGATTACTAGTGTTTTGTACAAAAATTATTGCAAAAGTTAATTATAAATTTGATTTTCTAGCAGGCCAATCTCTAGACAGCCTGTCTTTTAGGGCCTGAAATACGTATCTCCCCTCCATGTCTAGGACTTAACAGAGCCTTTATAATGAACCAAGGGTGCTTACCATTGACACAATTACCACGGTGGATATCTTGTTCATGAAAATAACACTACAAAAACTGACGTGTTGGGAGAACAACCCACTACAAAGTATATCCAAATCAGCTAAACAAACTTAACAGTGTAGAAAAATTGCATCGCCTCAAATCACAGACCATATTTTCTGAGGGTTTTCCAAATGGAATGGTGCAAGCCATTTGATTTTTCATCCAGAATTTCTGGTTTTCCCATGTAAATATGGTAAGTACCCCAGGACTACAAGGTGAGGTCTAACAGCCACTAGATCAAGTGTCATTAAGATGCATGCATAAGAATACACTTCTCCCTTTTGTTTTTCTTCCCAATGCACCTCACCTTTGGCCATTTTAAAAGCATGATTGCCCGTAAGCAGTTGCTGAAGACTCTGCGGCAACTCAGAGTCTTTTGTGTTTTCTGAAACCACGATAATGTATTTCACATCTGATGAGCCACAATATGGGCAACGACCAGTGGATGACACAGGGTACTGATTTGCAGTTGACGATGCCGATGTGCTACTGGTTGTAGATGATGACTTCTTGACTGTTGAGGTTGTCATAGATGCCACTGAGCTAGCTACATTACTAGAAGAAGGAGTTTGTTCTGAAAAATGTTCAGAGTCTGTTGCAGCCTCAGAAACACTCTCGCCTGCATCATCATCATCACCATTGCCATCCTCCTCATCATCATCACCATCATCAGCCATGGCATCTTCATCATCACTGTTTTCTTGGGAAAGTTTTTGTTGTTCTTTAGCAAGCATTTGCTTGATTAGCTCTTCCTCATCAAGTTCATCATCATCATCCTCTTCTTCATTTTCTTCTTCTTTGTCGGACGAACCTGACAAGAGGGAAAGCGTTATTATTATGAAGCTAATTGCATTTAACCACTTACAGCTGAATTTCTATAATTTTGTTACCTAAGAAAGGAATGGAAAGCTTTAGTACAGCTTAAACAGAACATACCAGTAACACTAGTAATAACAAAGCATTATACATTAAAATCAAATAAACAAAATGAAACCAAAAGAGAATCAAAATGTAACTAATTTACATACATACTTTGAACTGCTGCTGCAGTGTTGGACATGTTTCTTTCAACGTCACTTTCACTGCCTTGAAAATCATCTAAAACAACAAATGGATTGTCTGACGATTCATCTTGGCTAGAATGTTCACCACCTTTGTATCATGAGGATAAAAGCAAAATTCTCATCAATAAATAGACTCAAATAAGTGTAACAAACATTCCACACTAAACCGATCAGTTCATAAATTTCAGTCATGTAAAAATAATGTCATGCGCAACATTTACACAAATTCACAAATCACAAATGTGAGACATATACCACTGAGAAAAAGAGATAAAAATGTCTTTTAAAAAGTGTAGATACAAGAATAGGACAAAAAATAATACAGGACTAACCTTGATTTTGAGTTCCTTGAGGGCTTGATACAGGATTAATTGCCTTCTTAGAGTAAAATAATGCAAGAAAGATATCATGTTTGATCGTCTATTCCATCAAAGTGATTGATAAAGAACCAAGCGCTTGAGGAGATCAGCCCTGTTTCATTCCAAACTATGAAACAATGCCTAATTGACTACAGAGGTTAATCATTTGCAATGAGCTTTTTATCCATCTAGCTGAACACTTAATAAACAAGTTTAAAAGATTTTGCTCGGATGCAACTGTGTCACAACACTGAGAGAAAGAGAAAATGTTATAAAAAGCAATGTTTTAGTTATGGTAGTGAGAAAAAAACAGGATTACAATTATCATGGAAATAACCTGCACAATAGACTGGTTAATTATTATATCTGGTGTGATTGATACCTGTAAAGGCCGATCCAGAGACTCCAGGATTTTGTACACTGATACATTGTCCCAGTTAACATTAAACCCCGCACCCAGTGGGTCAGGAGGACAAAATCCACGGCACAGAAATGTGGGTGGGTCCTGTATAGGTATAAATTAGGTTAACAGAAAGGAAACAAATACAGTATCTTGAATTAGAGCTCCTTGACTCAGAACAAAAAACAAGGGCCTTCAGCCTGAACGCTCTGGTCGTTATCCATATACATTAACCAACTGTATCAACGAGACCCCACAAAATTTTAAAATTTCAAACCCCTAAAGTGCAATTTTCAGTGTCCTGGGGGCTAAATTTCACATGAAAAGAGTGGGTTTTTCATTCATGACAATGTAATTTTTTAATTTATCAGTCCACACAATAAATTCCTACAAGCAATGAACAAATGACGAAAATTAAATTATTCGTTTTGTATGTAAACAAATTCTGTGTAAACCTATAAAGAAACTTGTGAAAAAATGACTGGAACATAGCGTTCACATGACTAAAGCAAAGTAAAACCTGTGGGCTTCATGAAAACACATAATAATTACGTTTCCATTCAGATTTTATGATATATTTTTGGTTTACAACATTATTCAAACTAATGGCTTCAGTCTTCTTTCTAGAAAAAGGCAGCTGACTTCTATGTGCAAAGTAGCCGACACATTCCATCAGCTGTCAGTGCTTAATGAAACCCCTGGTTAAAAAAAGTCTTAACCTGTAACATATATACATGAACAAGATCTCAGGTTAAATCAGTATTTAACCTAGTTTGATGCAGTTTTATTTGTTTCCTTATTCATAGAAGACAAAAGAATTATGGTGTAACTGTTGACAACAAAATTTAAGTTTACCTATAACATATACACTGCTTTTAACCACCTCATCATATTTTGAATAAAAAGCTGGAGCATTTCATTTCCCAAAGGAAAATTTGCTCAAATATCAACTGCTACTTTGTTTGGCTCATATAATTTTGAGCACCACGAGTGAGGGGCCATCCTCTTGGCTTTAATATACCCTTTCACACTATTTTGGAGGAAATTCTGCAAGGTCATTGCCTGATAACAAAAATGGAGCTGTACAGACCCTTGAACAATGAGGCAGAGTTAAATGACAAAATCTGCCTTGCTGTCAGAAAAAAAAAGTACACTGAAGTTTAAGTCAACAAAGTAAGCTTTAAGATATCTCCTGCTCAGCTGTAGACCTTCATGTGAGTTGATTAAGGAAATTGTCCATCATACATTCAAGCACTGACCGCACCAGTTATCAGTTTTGAGTTATCAGCCAAAGTCTCACCTTGTAGCCTTCTCTCTCTTGACTTGACCAAAGAATTGCCCTTCCTTTGGCTATGAGACTGTGAAGAATTTCCGGCATATCGCCCATGGGGAATAATCTGTAATAACATNAGTACACTGAAGTTTAAGTCAACAAAGTAAGCTTTAAGATATCTCCTGCTCAGCTGTAGACCTTCATGTGAGTTGATTAAGGAAATTGTCCATCATACATTCGAGCACTGACCGCACCAGTTATCAGTTTTGAGTTATCAGCCAAAGTCTCACCTTGTAGCCTTCTCTCTCTTGACTTGACCAAAGAATTGCCCTTCCTTTGGCTATGAGACTGTGAAGAATTTCCGGCATATCGCCCATGGGGAATAATCTGTAATAACATTAAAATTAACCCTTTAGTCCCAAGAGTGACCAACATCAATTTTCTCCACACAAAATCAGTACATAATCAAGGGAAAAAGTTATGAGAACTGGTTAAATGATTTAATTGTTTATATATTTAATCACTTCCACCATACGGTGTCGAACACAAAGCAGAGCGCGGCTCCAAATTAAGCGTGTCCTTGCAGATAACCCACCCAGTCGAGGAGAGGTTGGCCACACCACCGGGGTCTACGTCCCCTACTCTTTTTGGAGAGTGGTGTGGTTTCTTTTACGTCCCTCAAGAACCAGATAAGTGAAAGTGCTGTGAGATGGGACCTACAGTTTTTTGTCCTTATCCGAGAAGACTAGAAAGTCTAACCGTTTGCAGATGTCATTGCAAAGGCAGCACTTTCTCCTCAGTTATTTTAAAGACCCTGAGTGTTGGTCCGGCCAGGGTTTGAATCCGCGACCTCCCGCTCAGCAGACCGGTGCTCTCCCAACTGAACTAACCAGGCTGCACCAAAGGGGAAATGCCCTGATTGTTTTTAATATTTTCCCAACTAATTCTCCAAGAAAATGTATAAAGAACAGTCTGGCGAATTTGTATGTGGACATTGGGGATTACAGGGCTAAGTGAGAACCAAATCTAATAGGGTGAAAAACAATCTTCACAGACTCACAAACACTTACTTGTCCAAGATTACATAAAGTCTGTTTGAGTTCCCGCAGCGTGGACACAAACCATCTTGGGAAACTGTGTATGTCTTTCCTCGTAAATGAGAACCCTTCACCTTTTCTTCCATATCCATTTCATCCACCCTGCAACACACATGTCATAAATAATTAAACTGTGTTTTAACCTTTTCTTCCTAGACCGCAATATGGTGAAATTACTTGTCACTCTAACTTGTTATATCTGTGGACAAAATCATATAGTATTAACATTCAAATGAAACGCCTTTGCANCAGGTACTACAGCTACTACAGGTACTACAGGTACTACAGGTACTACGGCTACTACACGTACTACAGCTACTACAGCTACTACAGGTACTACAACTACTACTACAGCTACTACAGGTACTACAGCTACTACAGGTACTTCAGGTACTACAGCTACTACGGCTACTACACGTACTACAGCTACTACAGCTACTACAGGTACTACAGGTACTACAGGGCTACTACAGCTACTACAGCTACTACAGGTACTACAGGTACTAGAGGTACTACACAGCTACTGCAGGTACCACAGGTACTACTACAGCACTGACAGTATGGGCGGTGGCCCGGGACATTTTGGGCAGTCTTACACCAAGTACTACCCCTTGCAACAAAACTGTTGCTCATGCGCAATTGGAAAAGCGCGAAAAAAAAAAACAAAAATGGCGGACGACGGGAGGATTTGTGTGGACAGCAAGCAATCGGTGCTGAAAATTCATGAAAAATTAAGGAAGGAGGTCCATAAAATAGCCGAAAAGAAGTCTTGGTCTGCTGAACAAAAGGAAGAATTCGAGAAAAAGATCCTTGAGGTGGGACGCTAAAAGTTGCCACGTTGATCTGTTATAAGCTTAACTTACTTTTGTTTATTACCTTAAATGCTCTGCTTGATCGCTTCTCTGACTTGGTTTTTTATTCTTGTGAAGCTTTATAAAGAGTCAGTGGAGGAAACTGTTCAAGCAAATGTGGTAGTTGGAGGGCAAGACTGGAACAATGTATCCCAGTCTGAAGATTCAAGCATTTCTGTAGTTCGGGAGGGTAAGCTTATAAATTATCTGTAACAAACGAGTTTGATTCTTCAGATCAATAACTTTATTTAACCATGGAGTCTTTTTCATTACAAAGTACTCTCCCAAGGGTCCGTGCACTTTACCAATAAGTTACACATAATAATTTTAAATACTTAAACGTATGTCATTACAATTATAAAAATTATTTGATTTTAAAATTAAAGTATGAAAAATTAATTAAACTAGTAGCCTACCTAGCCTTCACTCATTAGTTCAATTAAGAAAATTATTTAAACTAGTGGCCTGCTTAGCCTCGACTGACAGACCATTCCATAGAACAGCACCCCTATACCAGAAACTCCATTTAAATGCCTCAGAGTATGGTATTGAAACGAAGAGATTGTGTTGCGAACCCCGCAGATTATGTGTTTGAATGGAATTGGTGTAGGCAAATTCCTCTGATATCTATTCGGGTACTTGCCTGTTCACTGTTTTGAATAGTACTGTCGACTCTCTCTTAACGGACACCTCTATAAGACGGACACCTCTGTAAAACGGACACCTATAGTTGGTCCCTGCCTTTCTTTACTCCTTCTATTTGACTTTCTATAAGACGGACATCTCTCTAAGATGGACAGCTAGTGCCGGTCCCAAAGGTGTCCGTCTTAGAGAGAGCTGACTGTAACGTTTTTAATTGTTTTTTACAGCAGTTTAAAGGTTGACGTCATCGCTTCTTATCCAGGATAAATGTCATTTAAAGGAGCTTTTAGTTGTTCCGCGTTTCACGAGGAATAGAGTCATATTTAAGTTGTAATCAGCTGAAATCAAGTCAACATTGCCATTGCGTTTAAGCTTACATTTACATGGGTTAACCTTGCAAGATCATTGCAACATAAGTGCAAGCTTATAAACATAAACAGCGTTTGCTTATGACTCTGTTGCTTATTGCCTAGTGATAGTGTCGCAAACAAAAGTGAATGAATATGCCAATCACAATGTACAGGAACAGACCTTGTGATTGGTTTCTTCTTTTGCAGTTTTTGGTCATCTCTCTACCAGCAAAATTGCCACCAAGAAGTCAACTCCCAAAACAATAACTCTGACAATTGACACAGTTTACTTACCTAGTATTGCTTACGTAGGATTTTTACTTTTTTGTCAAACCCAAATACTAAACTGTCAATCTTAATTGACCATCGTAAGATCAATTTCACATGTTCTTGGCCCGAGACTCGTGCATGTGCTAGGGATTGCGACGTAGTATTTCCCAGATTACCAAAGGATCCTTACCTTCCATACAATTTCTTTAAAAAAAACTGACAGAAAATTCTTTTTGAATAAATATGATTAAGTAACATTTTAGTTTCATTTGTTGTGAATGTATTCTTGCAGGGGGTTAGATATTCACGGCTTGAAATGACTAAGGCTTAAAAGTAATGTGTATTTTAGAGGTATATAGTAAAAAAGTGTTACATAAGTAGGTTGAGTATGATCGCCCGGGTGAACATACTCCTGAATAGGAGTGTTGTTGACAGTGACTCAGATTTGAACAACCTGCACAGTAGTCATCTTCAGGGTCAAAGTGAGTTTATCACATCAGTTGATGGTATTAAGCTCTGGTTATTGACCTGATCGGTCAATGAAGTCATTGTCTGCCACAGCACTGACTCAGTCTTTGGTTTATCACACATTTAGACATTCATCTAAAACATACCTGAGAATTGGCTTGGGTTCTTGAAGGCAGCCTGGTAGGGTTTAGTCGTTTCAAAATGGCTAAAATTGATGCAGTTTTGCCTTTTTACCTCACTTGTTGATTAGACAAGCAACTTTTCAATGGGGAAACCTACTTTTGTGTGTTTCAAAATTGGAAGTGTTTACACAATTACCGCCGGCCTACTATGAAAATTCCTAAACGTTGATGGGGTCTTGCAGAAATTTCTTCCAATAACCCAAGCCAATTCCCAGGTATGTTTTAGATGAATGTCTAAATGTGTGAGTTAAATAGTATGAAGAGAGTTTGGAGTGGTACCACATGTTACATATTGCTGTCGAAAACAAGTAACAAACTTACCGTATTTATTCGGCTATCCCTCATTTTCAAATTTTTTCAATACGACGAGCCTCGCTATTGCCCTGGAAGTATCTTCTAGTGAAATAAGGACTGCTTAGTTCCTTGAAAGTGTCCAAATTTCTCCATGGACCTTTGTTTGCGAATGCAAAGAAAGTTGATGTTTGTGAATTTTAGGTTAAAAATTAGGCAATTTTAAGACTCCGACATTGAAAACCGATCTTCTAATCTTTCTCAAAATTAAAATTCTTTTGGCAGGAACAATCTACATTAGGTTTCTTATCTACCTAAAAGCTATCTATGGACAGAAAGTGAAAGAAATGGATTTTCACCTCCTGCCATGAATTACGATTTTGCTTAATTTTTCCTGACAGTTGCTCTTAAGTCTTCTCTTGTGTCTTTGAATGTCCATTACCCTGGTGGTCTTCTTAACGTTTGATTTTTACTTTTCAGAACTAGAGCCCCTCAACAGAGACAGGGTTGAACAAGTATTTGCAATATGTTCAGAACTGGAAGATTTAATGAAAGATACAACATTCAAACGGAAAAATTATCCACAGCAAATCACAGAAGGAATAAAGAAGATTCTCCAGAGTAAAAAAGAATTACTCGTAAGTTTTTCAATGTGGCGTTAGAGCTAGTCGAAAATGTTGTTATTCATGAATGAGGGCTAGGAGACAAACAAAATTGAGAATCAACTTAGGTTAAAAAATTGTTACAATTGTTATTTAATTTTGACAGGTATCAATTCCAATAGAAAAAAAAAGGAAAATTGCTTATCCTGAAAATGTATTCTTTCGGTAGGAAAAGTATCAACCAGCAACAAAAAGTGATTCCATATTGAGCAGTTTCAATTTCTTAACTTCAGGTATGACATTTCTATGTTTCTGTTGATTACTTCTAGAGTGTAATAATATTTTCTTGCTGGTGAACAAGAGAACTAGGTGATGTTTATCCATTTGCTGTTAGTTGTAAGTTTCAAATGAAGGTATTCTTCTTTGAACACGACAGTGTCTGTGTATAGAGTCTGTGCATTGCAGCCATGTTGGAGGAGTAAACAATAAAAATTGTTTGCATGAAAATAAAACTTTTTCTCAAAGGAAAATCATTTATTGTCTTACTCCTCCAACACAGCCACTGCACTCATACGCTATAAGGGACCTTAAGCAGCAACGACGGCAACTACCGGTATTATGAAAACATGAATTTGGGCTGCCTCAAACTTCAAATTTTTTGGTGTTGAATTCAAAAGGACTGTATCAAAGTTCAGGAAAAGAAAAAGAAAAAGAAAGTTTTTGTCTTGTGTTCCCATCCTCAACAAAATGGGAAATATTTAGGCATTTTCACGTCATAGTTGTGTAGCGATGGCTAAGAAATGTACAAAAAAGCGTGATGCACATGCAAAGTTGTTGTTTTGCTGTCGCTGTCGTCGTTGCTTAAGCTTCCTATTGTGAGGCAGGAGTTTATTTTCTGTTGGCCATTTATCGTGTTTTCCTTTGACACTGTCATTATATTAATTCCTTAGATTTTGATGACTGCATTCAGAGACTGCAATCATTGTCTTCTGAGGTTTCTCAACTGTCAAAGGTTTGTATACACTATTTGTTGTTTTTATGGGATTACTCATAACTCAAACAAACATTGCAAATCCACGTTTACTTAACGGATGGAAATTAAAATTAAAAAATTGCAGCATGCTAAGAGTTTGTCTTTATCATTCATCCATCTTATCGCTTTCCACACATTAATTACATGTATTTTGATTAAAATTTATTCATTTCACTTCTACAAGTTTCTCTTTCACTTTTGCAATTACCTAAAATCACAACAAATTTTTAAATGATAAGTAACTTGCACAGCAGGACTGTGAATTGAAGGTAATGAAGTACATCTCTTCTTTACATGTAACCATCACAGAGTTGCAAAGTGAATAGAGAATTAGGGTGAAGGAAAAAAGAAAAAAAGAGGGTCATAACATAAAATGATGCAGAAGCAAGGAGAATTCATCTCCATCGCTTCCCAGATGCTGATTGACTATTCTAGCTGAAGTTGAACTTGTACAGTGTATACGCAGGGTTTGTTACAAGTCTGACAACATTATAAATAGTAAGGTTAATTTAATGGTAAAGAAGCTTGATAGTAAGGTACTGCCATTTTACATAATGATTTTACACACAGGCATTTTAATCAGCAGTTTAATTATCCTGTCTGAGTAAACTGTTCCTATTTTCTCACTTTTTCAGTCAATACCAGAACTTCATGGAAAAGTTCTTCGTCTACAGGAAGTTGTTCAAAACCACAAAGTCATGCAGAAGAGTGAAACAGATGCTGTGTTATTCGGAAGGGACAGTAACAGTGATGCTAATTCATTACCTTCTTCTGGTGAAGTTCCCATATCACAGGGTGACCAAACTAATGAACAATTAAATTCCAAGGATTTTATTTGGTGGGGATCATCTAAGCGAAAGTCAAATCCTCCTCAAAGACTTGACCCTTCTAATAACTCACAGGTTTAGATGATGATCTTATAATTTATAGCATAATGTTTAATTCTACAATAGGCCTTTCTTCACACTCTGCAAGACATATCTTTAAATTATCATTTGTTTTAATTACTCTTTTAAAGTATCCTGAAAGTGAAAGCGAGATAGAAGTCCAGCATAGTAAATTTTATGAATTTCAGAGCTTACAGTATATGATCTATTGTTTCATTCTTGTCTTTAATAATAACCTGTTGGGTACTAAACCAATTTCTTGGTGCATCAGTGTCACTAAGACCCTCAAAACCTTAGCTTGTTCAACAGGATTTTGCAACCCTACTCTAGACTTGGCAACAAAAATACCCTTCTCATACCAGCTTGAATTTGTCATCTCTGTGAATTACAGTGAGATTGCAACAGAAAGATTTGGCCCTATATACATACTATAATATTTATACAGTAGGTAGAAGTATGTGTTTCACAGTCTCATAGTTTATCTACACAAAATCCCCTCCAAATATTGGAGAAAAGCTCTTAGTCTATGCTTTTTGTTGATGAATCCAAGATGGCCCTGTATTTTATCTTGCAGCGTTGATAAAAATCTTGTTAAAACGCATGACTAACCAGGCTTTTCTCCTACAATTCTAACACAGCATGTTTTTTTTTTATGAGGGAGCTTGAATTGAGCAGAGCTTATTCTTAGAATTTTACAGTATGTGACAATTTGGTGGGTGTTGAAGTCGTAGCCTCTATAATACCCCCTCCCCCTAGATCAGTTTTCCTGCGTGAACTAAACTGCTTGAAATAATATTGGCATATACATTTACCTTGCGAGTAGGCTTCACCCCAGGGGAGATAAATCCGATTGTCTATTTTTTATTGGTGTCTGTTGATCAGATTAGTTTTTTTTTAAGACACTATGTTTATCCCCAGATCAGAAAGATAGACCATTGTACAGTTGTGGACTAACAGTATCCAAGCCTTTGAGTGAAGTGAACGTGAGGCTGAGGTTGACCTTGTTCTGATACAAACCTTCTTCCTTTTCTTATGAAAATTATACTAGAAAAATACTTGTCGATACTTGATTGTCTTGCCGATGTCAGTACTTTATTTATTGATTAGTATATTTTTAAAGGTGGTCCTCTCCGCATACTTTATTGGTTTCCTTGGGCTCCCTTTGCCACATCTTTTTCTTAATTTTGTGTATATATTTAACTTGTATCAGTTGCAAAAACGATAATAAAACAATAAAGCATCAATACTGGATAGCATATGAACTACATGATTTACTGTACATAATAAAGCAGGAACAAGGTCAACTCCAGCCTCGTTTCCATTTTAAAATGTAAAATAAAATGCCAACTTTTCAACTTTTGATTGGATATCCTTATTGAAAGGGCACCTTTAAGGCAGTATGAACGGATTTTTATGTTGAGAGAGTTAATTGGAACAGTGAACTGGTACTGGGAAATACCCGGTGGGGGGGGGGGGTACTCCCTTATATAAGCCACATAGATATGTGCCGCCCCAAAGGGTATGGTTTTTGCGCCTTTACAGGCTGTAATCGGGTATGGTTTTCAAGGGAACAACGGCAGTGTATGTTTCAATTGCAAATGAATAGGGGAAGAAAGAGATACACATGTATGCGAATTCGAAACGCATCTTAAGAAATCTTTTTGTAGCCTGAATTTCATCCGATTACTTCGAGTCGTCATTACTTCCTCAGTAACTGAGGGGAGAAAACGACTCGAAGCTATCGGATGAAATTCTGGCTAATCTTTTCGTTCTTTTTTGCGTTTTAATCTAAGTAATGATGACATTTCTTAAAGACCATGTCCGAGAACGGGTGTGGAAAATGACATTTTTGGTCTGAAATAAGGTCAGGATTTGTAGAACCGGACGTCACAACCCAACAAGAATTCCCAGGAGTACCTCCCCCGGGGAAAATACTTATAAGTAAGAGTATACAAGAAAATGTATGTTGTAAATATTACAGTTCCAAGGCACTTGAAAATTTTAGCTTTTATACCAAGTACTTCATTACTGACCTACAAAAAAGAATGAAAACGAATAAAAAATATACAATATTTCAATCAAAAAGTAAAAAAAAATAAGATTATACTCCATCTTTTTTTTTATTATAAAAAAAAAAAAAAAAAATCTTTTTTTTTATTTTTTTTATTAAATTTCTGTAAGAGAGGGCTCGGTTTGGGGAATATAGGTGGTTTTTTTTTTGTGAGGAAGTTGGGTGAAGTAAGAAATGGGGAAGAGGATATGGGGGGGGGGGGGGGGGGGGTGGGGGTACTCCCTTATATAAGCCTTATAGATATGTGTAGCCCCAAAGGGTATGGTTTTTGTGCGTTTTCGGGCTGGAATCAGGTATGGTTTTCAAGGGAACAACGGGAGTGTATGTTTCAATTCCAAATGAATAGGGGAAGAAAGAGATACACATGTATGCGAATTCGAAACGCATTTTAAGAAATATTTTTGTAGCCTGAATTTCATCCGATTACTTCGAGTCGTTATTACTCCCTCAGTAACTGAAAAGAAAAAACGACTCGCAGCAATCGGATGAAATTCAGGCTAATCTTTTCGTTCTTTTTTGCGTTTTAATCTAAGTAATTATGACATAATTTCTTAAAGGCCATGTCCGAAAACTGGTGTGTAAAATGACATTTTTGGTCTGAAATATGGTCAGGATTTGTAGAACCGGTCGCCACAACCCCACCAAGAATTCCCAGGAGTGCCTGCCCCGGAAAATACTTATAAGTAAGAGTATACAAGAAAATGTATGTTATAAATATTACAATTCTAAAGCACGTGAAGATTTTAGTTTTTATACCAAGTAATTCATTACTGACCTACAAAAAAGAATGAAAACGTAACCTTTTTATCTCCCAGAGTCAGTAGCAAAGTTTTGCATCAGTATGGTTTTTAATTTCTCTTGGGGCGAAAGGCGTATTGTCTCACTCATTCACTAGCCAGTTTTGTCATCGATTTGTCAAGTTTTAATCAAGTCGGCATTTTTTTTCTGAATTCGTCTAATTCAAGCGTTAGTCCCCCGGAAAATAATTATAAGTAAGAGTATACAAGAAAATGTATGTTGTAAATATTACAGTTCCAAGGCACTTGAAAATTTTAGTTTTTATACCAAGTACTTCATTACTGACCTACAAAAAAGAATGAAAACGAAGCCCTTTTATCTCCTCGAGTCAGTAGCAAAGTTTTGCATTAGCATTGTTTTCAATTTACTAGCCAGTTTTGTCACCGATTTGTCAAGTTTTAATCAAGTCGGCATTTTTTTTCTGAATTCGTCTAATTCAAGCGTTAGTCCCCCGGGAAAATACTTATAAGTAAGAGTATACAAGAAAATATATGTTGTAAATATTACAGTTCCAAGGCACTTGAAAATTTTAGCTTTTATACCAAGTACTTCATTACTGACCTACAAAAAAGAATGAAAACGAAGCCCTTTTATCTCCTAGAGTCAGTAGCAAAGTTTTGCATTAGCATTGTTCTCAATTCACTAGCCAGTTTTGTCACCGATTTGTCAAGTTTTAATCAAGTCGGCATTTTTTTTCTGAATTCGTCTAATTCAAGCGTTAGTCCCCCGGGAAAATACTTATAAGTAAGAGTATACAAGAAAATATATGTTGTAAATATTACAGTTCCAAGGCACTTGAAAATTTTAGCTTTTATACCAAGTACTTCATTACTGACCTACAAAAAAGAATGAAAACGAAGCCCTTTTATCTCCTAGAGTCAGTAGCAAAGTTTTGCATTAGCATTGTTCTCAATTCACTAGCCAGTTTTGTCACCGATTTGTCAAGTTTTAATCAAGTCGGCATTTTTTTTCTGAATTCGTCTAATTCAAGCGTTAGTCCCCCGGGAAAATACTTATAAGTAAGAGTATACAAGAAAATATATGTTGTAAATATTACAGTTCCAAGGCACTTGAAAATTTTAGCTTTTATACCAAGTACTTCATTACTGACCTACAAAAAAGAATGAAAACGAAGCCCTTTTATCTCCTAGAGTCAGTAGCAAAGTTTTGCATTAGCATTGTTCTCAATTCACTAGCCAGTTTTGTCACCGATTTGTCAAGTTTTAATCAAGTCGGTATTTTTTTTCTGAATGCGTCTAATTGAAGCGTTAGTCTAATTGTTCATTGATGAACTGAGTGCTGTTTTTCTCAATGCATTGTCAAGTCTTATGCTTATCCACTAGTAAACTGTTTTCAAGCAAGAGGTACGTTATGTAATCGAGCGAGTCGGCAAACTTTTCTCTTTAAATGTGACCAATCTATGCTTTGATTGCCCATTGTTGATTATAGAGTGCGTGCTTTTCTCACATACAGTTTCAAGAAAAGATTTATCAAAAACATTTCTCACATTGGTTTGAATTTTAATCGAGCGACCGTATAAATGGAGACTCCAATTTCAAGTTGATATTACTGTGTTTAAAGCCAGAAACCTCCGTTCCTTGCTTTGCTGGCGGTGTAGTGAAGACCAAACTCAGCTAGGCGATCTCTGGTCTGGAATGAAAGTCAAGATTTTCTTTTGCCTTCTCGAAAACAACAGGTTTGTTCTTAGTTCAACTTTAATTTTTGGTTTCTCTATCGTTTACTTTGTTTTTCTGAAAAAAATTGAGTCAATTGAAAGAAACGGTGATAAGCGTCCAAATTGCTTTAACGGCTCTTAATGGTTATTATTGCTGCAGAAAGAATTTAATCTTGTAGACTCTACTTAACGATTTTCTGTCATAATTTTGTCCTCTGAGTGTTATTCAATGTGTCGCCCGACGGTACCTGTAAACATGCATGGTCCCTTTGTTATGTTGGCTCGATGAATATTGATTGGAGGGACGAAAATGTACTAAAGGTTTACGTACAGTCAACAAGATAAACGCGAGTGGCGATTGTTAGGGTCAAATGGGCCAATTTTGTTTGTCTATGCAGTTAGAATTTTTCGCTTTGCTTAAAGAAGTGTTCACTTGTGTAGACTACACTTATAAAATAAACTTCAAACGTTGGACAGCCTGACTCAGACTATATGCTTTTATATTTGATTAACCGCGGCCTTATTAATTAATGTACGATTTGAATGTAAATTATGCTTTTATGCCGCACAAACAGGATGCCAACAAACAGCCTGTTGGCAATTTTAGCGTAGAATGCTTAGCTTGTACCGGGAGAGAATTTCAATGCTTCCCGGGACGGTTCGGTCTGACATAAGATAACAGTCGATAGAGAGGCACGACAGGTGTGAATAAAACTGAAGGTAACGATAAACCAGTTAAATAGGAAATAAGGTTAATTCGGAGTGCAATTTTTAACACGTTAGTACAGTAGTATTTACAACAATAAATAACGCTTTCCTTTTTTTAACAGGTACTGCCCGACCATAAAGAAAAGCAGAACAATTTCCCTTCCAAGAAAGTCTTCAAAATAACAATAAAAGTACTGCCACGGTCCTTAACAAGGATATGCAGCCAACTCATTTGTTTGTCTGTCATTTATTCAGTATATACCAAACCTATGGTAAGTTAAGATTTTGCGCAACACAGTCGTTTGGTCGGGTCTTCATGCAATTTTCCATTGTTTTGAACAGGTTATTATTTTAGATAACTTTTAAGAACAGGTCGTTGAGGTGGAACAGAAGATCATTATTAGCAATAATAACCTACTGTTTCAATTCAGTGACCATAATAATAACCTGCTGGTTTTAAACCTATGGAAAAGTACGCGCTCGGTCATTACTTTTAATTAGGTATCGGGGCTACGCAATGAAGCTAGATTTCTTTTCATGTTGCATGTTTCTTCCAATAATTTTGACGAAAGTTTTGTGATCTATCTGACAATTGTGGTTTGGTATATGCACCAAGACAACTGCATGTTGTATTTAGTTCTAAATTAAACCTCCTCAGGTCTGACAGAGAAAAATGTCAGAATCTAAAAGAAGTTTACGCTCATGAATTCAGCAAAAAAAGTTCGGTCTCGTAGACAACACGACACCTTACCCAGCGCTAAATTCCTCAGCGCAAACCAACAACAAAAAAGTGAAATGAAGAGAAAACGTGTAATTAAAAAACACCAAGGGAATTACAGCCAAAAGCCAGAAACCAACAATAAATCAAGAAAAAACAACAAAATGGAAAAGGTAGGTCAAAAACGGTAAGTAACAAGGTAAGTTTATTCTTTTTTAGCCCTGGGGACTAAGTGCTCCGCCCAGAGGGGGGAGAGCCCTGGGGACTAAGTGCTCCGCCCAGAGGGGGGAGAGCCCTGGGGACTAAGTGCTCCGCCCAGAGGGGGGAGAGCCCTGGGGACTAAGTGCTCCGCCCAGAGGGGGGAGAGCCCTGGGGACTAAGTGCTCCGCCCAGAGGGGGGAGAGCCCTGGGGACTAAGTGCTCCGCCCAGAGGGGGGAGAGCCCTGGGGACTAAGTGCTCCGCCCAGAGGGGGGAGAGCCCTGGGGACTAAGTGCTCCGCCCAGAGGGGGGAGAGCCCTGGGGACTAAGTGCTCCGCCCAGAGGGGGGAGAGCCCTGGGGACTAAGTGCTCCGCCCAGAGGGGGGAGAGCCCTGGGGACTAAGTGCTCCGCCCAGAGGGGGGAGAGCCCTGGGGACTAAGTGCTCCGCCCAGAGGGGGGAGAGCCCTGGGGACTAAGTGCTCCGCCCAGAGGGGGGAGAGCCCTGGGGACTAAGTGCTCCGCCCAGAGGGGGGAGAGCCCTGGGGACTAAGTGCTCCGCCCAGAGGGGGGAGAGCCCTGGGGACTAAGTGCTCCGCCCAGAGGGGGGAGAGCCCTGGGGACTAAGTGCTCCGCCCAGAGGGGGGAGAGCCCTGGGGACTAAGTGCTCCGCCCAGAGGGGGGAGAGCCCTGGGGACTAAGTGCTCCGCCCAGAGGGGGGAGAGCCCTGGGGACTAAGTGCTCCGCCCAGAGGGGGGAGAGCCCTGGGGACTAAGTGCTCCGCCCAGAGGGGGGAGAGCCCTGGGGACTAAGTGCTCCGCCCAGAGGGGGGAGAGCCCTGGGGACTAAGTGCTCCGCCCAGAGGGGGGAGAGCCCTGGGGACTAAGTGCTCCGCCCAGAGGGGGGAGAGCCCTGGGGACTAAGTGCTCCGCCCAGAGGGGGGAGAGCCCTGGGGACTAAGTGCTCCGCCCAGAGGGGGGAGAGCCCTGGGGACTAAGTGCTCCGCCCAGAGGGGGGAGAGCCCTGGGGACTAAGTGCTCCGCCCAGAGGGGGGAGAGCCCTGGGGACTAAGTGCTCCGCCCAGAGGGGGGAGAGCCCTGGGGACTAAGTGCTCCGCCCAGAGGGGGGAGAGCCCTGGGGACTAAGTGCTCCGCCCAGAGGGGGGAGAGCCCTGGGGACTAAGTGCTCCGCCCAGAGGGGGGAGAGCCCTGGGGACTAAGTGCTCCGCCCAGAGGGGGGAGAGCCCTGGGGACTAAGTGCTCCGCCCAGAGGGGGGAGAGCCCTGGGGACTAAGTGCTCCGCCCAGAGGGGGGAGAGCCCTGGGGACTAAGTGCTCCGCCCAGAGGGGGGAGAGCCCTGGGGACTAAGTGCAATGGTAAAAAATTTTAAAGTAAATTTTTTCCCTTATTAAGATGGTCTAATGTCTTGCTTCATTTGAAATATAAACTACTTCTCTGTGACCCAAAAATTGAATTTAAAAAGTTACGGGAGGAAAATCCCTAGCAACCGACCATTGTGAGCCTCCTTTTTTCTCCCCATGCTCTCGCTCTGTCTCACAACACAAAGAAGCCTCTGCAGCGGAGAGAGGGAAAAGGGATTTTGGTTTCGAGAGAAGGGCTTCTCCCTCGCGTGCGGTCTCGCGCCAATGAAGGTTTTGAAGGGTACGTTACATGTGTCTTACACAAAGGCCACAGTATTATTTCCAAGATGGCGGACGTTGGGAAAGCGTCACCTGAGAAAACGTTGGAAGCAGCCGATAATTTTGACATGCCTCCACCTTGCATTGCATCAAAACTCCAAGAGAAGGGGAAAACAGATAATGAAGGATTAAAAAGAAAGTCTTCGATGAAAGAAAAGAAGGAGACAACACCAGAATTACCCTACAAGGTTCCCTCATGGAGTGGGGTTCCTGAGGACTTGTACAGCTTAGAAGTTTTAAAGAACGGATGTATTATCTCTAACATCGATCTTACTAGTAAACCGTTTCATGTTTTTGGAAGACTTCCTAACTGCGACGTTAGTTTAGAACATCCCTCGGTGTCTAGGTACCACGCAGTTATCCAGTACAAGACCAGCGACAGTTCCAACAGCGAGAAAGGTTTTTATATCTATGACCTCGGTAGCACACATGGAACTACTGTAAACAAGTCTCGCATTGAACCCAAACGCTACTACCGGCTGCGTGTTGGATACGTGTTCAAATTTGGTGGAAGTTCAAGGTTATTTATTCTTCAGGTAAGGAAAGACACTCATTGAAAAAAGCTTATATGAAAAGAAGGTTTTTTTTTTTAACTGCGGATAAAGATAATTATGAAAGTGTACAGGATCCTCGTAGTAGAATGAACAACATAAGTGGTTGAAAAAGAACTTGAAAAATCTCAGGCTTTACTGGGAATCAAACCTTAAACATTGAGTGTGGTCATTGTAAAGGTGACCAGGGTTCACTTCCTTGTCAAGCCTGAAATTTTGCAGGTTCTTTTTCAACCGCTTAGGTTGTTCATTCTACTGTGAAATACATGTATCCCAGGGGGGTTACTCTGGATTTCATTTGACGTAGATGATCGAATGATGGCAGAAATCAAAACCCCCAAAAAATCATTTGGCCATTTGGGTAAAATTGAACAGTAGGCACACTACAGTCGCGGACTGGTAGAATCGCAAACATTGGAAGAATCATATAATCAGAGAACTGTCCTTAGTAAATAGTAAAATTGGAGGAAATCTGTAGTGCTAATTATATTTTTGGAGAAGAATACCCCTAGATCAGTTACTGTGTATGCTGTTTTCCGATTTAGCACTTATCCCACTGCTTCCAAAGTGAATAACAAGTCAAGGGTTTGTATAACTTTCAAGAATTCTCCGAACCCTTTGAGTGTTATATATTAGGCTATGCAAACAAATCTTTGTTGGTAAATTTTATCTCAGTGCAAGGCTCGACGTTACGGCCTGTGCCAATGCGGCCAGCTTTTACTCAGTGGCAACTAAATTCTAATGCCTGGTCGCCAACCTGGCCCCCAAGATAGGTGACTTTCTTCTTTGGGAAAACTTACACTAATGATGATAATTGTTTTCCTTTACAAAACTAACGGATAGTTAACGGTTTTTCTAACGCTTTAACGTTTTGCCCAAATGCTTTAACGGTTCGTCTAAATGTTTTAACAATATTGTTTGTCTAAATGCTTTAACGATTTCTTTCAACACTCTAACGTATTGTTCTTATGATCTAACAATATTGGTCTGTCTAACGTTTGACTTTTACTTGAAAGAGGATTGTGAAAATCACAAGTGATGAATCTGACGGAAGTCTTTTGGACTTTCGGGCAAATCGATCGCAATTGTCAACAGGTCGTCCCATGTTTCTCTGGGAATGACTTTTAGCGCAGCGACTTAAAACAGTTTCTTTATGTCAAACATGTATCTCAATTGCAGACTCGATAGCAGACTAGTCTGATAAAAGCTTAAGCTAATCGAGAACAAACGGGGCTTGTTTCTCGAGCTTCTTGTAAACAACTTTAAGCAAATTTCTGTTGAGCAGGACAACCCAAATAAAAGCTCGGCCGTATTTTATTGACTTCTAATGAAGTACCATTGAACTCATGCCGTTTGTCTAACAGACTTCTCACGAAATCAACTAATTGCCCGAGAAGATTAGTGACTTTTCTTCTTTCTGAAGACTTTCGATCACGTGCTAGGTAACTGCGAAATAGATCAAGTTTCACCAATGTTCATTTCTGAACATGCAAATACGTGGGATGCAAAAGAAATTTTGCAGATTTTGTTCTTTAATAACCCAAATAAGTTATTTTGTGATTCCTAAAGTTTGTTTATCTAAATGTGTATTCCATTGCTTGTATACCTGTTTGAGGAGATTTACGCTGGAGTGTGGGTTCATTTTCCCGAACACCAGCTGGTAATCAAGCCTAGAGTAAAAAGCATTCGAGAGAAAGTTCAAAGGAAGTCTAAAGCATTCTTTTTCTGTTAAGGCTAAGTAAAAGATGTTACGTTTATTTCATTCTTTTAGTTCTTTAATATAATTTTTGGTGACTAGAGTAGTAATTGTTCTGGCGACCAAAAATGAAAACTTGAGGGCCAGCTGACCCCAACATTTTTTTCTGAAAGTCGAGCACTGCAATGACAGGTTGTGACTTGATTGAAAGCTTTCTTCTTAAGAAGGCATCCACTTGGGCAAATGAAACAAAGTCTATGCCTCACGTAAAGGTGCAAAAATTATGCCTAAATACTTGATATATAAACTGTTTAAGCCACTTGTGAATCTGATAACATATTTTCACTAGGTTATTATAAGTAGCCACAAAACATAATAAGTGCTGTTCTGACTCCAACTCCAACTCCATTGCAAGCAAAAACCAGCCGTTAGTTACCTTAAGAAGATAGCTACATCTGGAATGTGAACACAAAGATTTAAAATAAATTCTGGGAGAAATCTTTGTTTGGCGTTCTCCTCTTTTTTGAAGGGGCCTGAGGAACCTGAAGAAGCAGACATGGACCGAGCTCCAGCTGAACAAGTTGCTCCCAAAAGTGTCAGTGAAGTGGGACGTGTAATGACTGAAGAAGAGTATGAGGAATGGAAGAAAGAAAAAGAGGGAAGCAAGGAACATGAACAAGATGGAGGAATAGATTGGGGAATGGGTGAGATAAAAACACTCAAAACCCTACCTCTAAACTAGTGCTGCAGCAGAAGCAATCTATTATCTTTCTCTCTAAGTCTTTCAAAATATGAAAATGTTAAATTTTTTGAAGAAAGTGAGAAAGTGCCAAAATTGATGCAGTTTATCTGTTGATCCCTCTGCTATATTCCTAACTAATAAGCTGAAAGCTACTATCTGCTTAGGAAGTGGCTATTCATATAAAACCTAAAGATTGGCACTCTATGACACTTGCTGTTGTTTATTTATACAGCACTGGAGTACAGAAACTGGTCAGTGGTTTGGGTTTTAATCATGTGTGACCTAAATAGGCAAATAACAATGATTTATTGAGGTGTCAAAACATTCAAATTTTGTTTGCAGGAGAAGATGCTGTTGAGGAACCTGCTTATCCAGCTGATTTTGGAGATGTTGACAAGAACCCAGAGGAACATCACTTTAAGGATCCTAAAAAGACACTGAGGGGTTTCTTTGAAAGAGAAGGTCAGAAACTCAGGTTTTTGAAGTTAAAAAAAAACAGCTAAAATGATGGACATTTGGGACACCATCAATTTTCTCCTAAGAAAATCAATACAGAATCAAGAGAAAAGGTTTTGAGAAAATGCTCTGATCTTTTATCAAATTCTCTTAACTAATTCTTTAAGATTATGTACAGAAATCAGTCTGAAGAATTTGCATGTAGATATTGGGGCTTAAAGTATTAAACAAAGTCTTTCATTGTCCCATTGTATTAGTGAACCTCCAGATTTTTTGGTGATTTTTTTCGCAGTATAACATTGATCTCAGAAAACTTCGCGTAAACAAAATCACCAGCCGCCGAAACCACAAAGCGGCTCTAAATAAAAAACCTACCGCCTCTCCGCAATGATTCTTCATTCGCAGTTCAATTTAGCATTTCAGTTTCGAAGACAGGGGTAATTTTGCTGTTTAAGATAAAGATTAAGTTTATCGAAATGTTTGAACTAAACGAAAGAATGCCAGGGATGCGATCCCCTGAACATCAAGAGACAATCCCGGTAAAATTTTTCATAATTATACATAATTATGCAAATGTTTAGACAATCAACCAATTAAAATCACTACCCAGTTTTTGGGTAGTGAGTGATGTCACTGGCATCATTAACGGCCGGTTGATTCAGACGTTGTTGAGACGAGAAAACGACTCAAAGCAATCGGATGAATTTCAGGCTACATATATATGTGGCTACTTGAACCGCTAGTCTTTGTTTAAAAGACTCACCCGGTATATTTGATGCCCTGGAGTTTATCAACAGAATATATTTTACAATACTTGGACACCCACATAATACAGAAACTTTGGGCTGTGTCTCAAGTGTCCATGTTAAGTGGTTTCCTCTGTAATTTCTTGGTAGTGATTAATCTTTGCAGTAACCATTTGTCTTAGGATTGGAGTTAGAGTATGATGTTGAAGAAAAAGGTCCGGGACATGCAAGAGTATATCATTGCAAAGTCAAGTAAGTTCAATGAATTGTACACTCGTATTTAAAGTGTGTAGTGTAGCGTTTCTGTGGTGTAGGTGCAGTCATACAGTAGGCTTACACTATTTTGTATTAAGAATACACTGTCAAACCTCCATGTGAAGCCACCTCTCTTGAGCGACCACTTCCCATAAGCAACCCACCCCACCTATCCAAAACGACAATATTTTCTCAGTCAGTTTGCTAGAGGCACATGTAAGACCTCTTGTTAAGTGACTGAGAGACAGTGTAAGAATTTTCCTTTTTTTTTTCCACAGACTTAAACATAAAAACTGCATGACATGTCTCTATAACATGATTTTAGAAATACAGTGTCATTCACACCAATTAAGAAAAAAGAAATGTTTTTCTTGCCGGCTGAGCTTGCAAAAGAGGCAAGAAAAGAAGTCCTAGATGCTCGCACTGAATAGAACCTGGGCCCGAGTTACAATTTAGGGTATCAGTTTTCATGCTCATCATGTTATTCAGTTTTGTTTCTTGCCAAACAGTGCAACAGTGTTTTCCCACCCTCCAGCCCTTTGCCAGTTAAAAAAAAGAATGTGAGTTAGACTGACTACAGTGTATTAAGTTCAGGAAGGTTTTTCTATATTTTCCTTGTTTGTTGTAAAATGTTTGTGATGGTTGTGATTAAGGTGCTGTTGTATTGTGTGGCAGACAAATAGCATTCAGTGTGTGAGAATTAAGTTATACCTAGCAGTGGCAGATCTGGGGAAGGGCTCACTAGTCCCCCTTTCGTTAACTAAAAACAAAGTTGTAAGGCCAAGGTACTGAAAACTGAGGGCGGAGGGTGCTTCCCCCTTTACCTCAAGGGTTAGCTCTGCATTTGTATAATTACACACAGTATTTCTTTCTCGTTCATAGACTTCCCATTGATGGTCCAAGTGGAGAGCCACTGTACGCTGAAGCTGCTGTTGCTGGAAAGAAGAAAGATGCTGTGCTTGAATGTGCCTTGGAGGCTTGTAGAATGTTAGATGCTTCAGGGCTTCTGAGGCAATCATCACATGGTAATTATAATGCAGTGGTTGCTGAGTAATCAGTGTTTTCAGTGACAGCCTTTTGTCTTTACAGGGGTTTAATAATAGTGTAATCCTTGGTAGACTACCAGTCTTACAATGTAGACTCTTGAATTGAAGCTGGTAGGTTTTGTTTACATGTACTTCCATGTATTTCCCCAAAAATGCCCTCCAAGCAGAGGTTTTCTTTCTGGCATGGCTTTTCAGTATTTGTAAAGTCTTTTGCATGGCTTGTCAGTTGCGTAGTTGGTTTGTTTGTGCCCCAGTAGAAATGGGGCTTATTATTAAACCAACTACTTTGTAAATGCTAAAAGACATGCCAGAAAGAAACCGCTTCTCACAGGGTACCCCAAACAGTTCTCCCCACTGTCTTTCCTCCAAGTTCAGTTTCATCTCCACCTTTACATATTAGGCTTTCTTGACAAAGCTCCTTTAACCTGGCTTTCACAAGCAACAAGCACAAGCTGAACAGGGAGCACAGACTTAAATAGTGGGTGCAGGAAACAAGCAAGAAATCTTGGTGGTGGTGGGGGGAATGCAGGGCTAAAGAAGTGGTGGTGGTTGTGGTGGGGGGGATGCAGGGCTAAAGTAGTAGGGAGGGGCACCCCATGTTACCTAGAATAGGGAGCTTTAGCAACGATGACAGTGACGGCAACAAGGACGTCAAAAAAGCAATAGGTTTATTACGCAAAACAACAACTTTGCACGTGTCACGCTTTTTTGTACATTTCTTTACCATCCTTGCACGACTACGACCTGAAAATGCCTAATTGCAAGTTTTATGGAGGACATAAACAAGCGACAACAAATCTCTTTTTCTCTCTCTAAACTTGAGTGCAGTCCTCAAGAAATCAACTCCAGGAAATTTGCCTACACTTGTCATTTTCAGCAAATTGGAATAAAGGCGACAAAGATTGAAAAGACAGGAATTCATTTTAATACTGACGTTTTTGCTGCCGTTGCCGTCGTCGATGCTAAAGCTCCTTAATATCTTCAAAAGAAACGGTCTTGAGTGACCAGGGCTTGCTTATGTTCCTGAGATATTTCACCTCTTTACAGCTTTCTGGTTGAGTTCATATTTGACAGTAAAGTGTAAAATGTGAATCCTACCTGTCAAATGAAGAGTCACTGAGAAGCTGAGACCCATGGTTTAAAATCAGAAGTTAATGGCAAAAAGTTGAAGACAGTGACATAGGAAGGAAATGGAAAAAAAGACTTTGGACTGATCGCATAATGCTTCCACGATTTTGAGATCAGATATATATTATTATAATTTTTTTGCAACCTGTGATTTTCTAGCATTTTGTAGCGTTTACCATTCCTTAACTTACCTTGTTTATCTGCATATGGCCCTTTTTACTATGTGGTGTATGAATGATTGAGAATGTAATATTTTAATATGGCTCTTATTTTGTGTATGATAAGCTCAATGGATTTATGTTGTTCGTCTTAGAAAGTAAAAAGCACAAAGAGAAGAATTGGGAAGAAAATGATTTTTATGACAGTGATGAAGACACATTCTTGGATAGGACTGGATCAGGTTGGTAAATTCAGCTAATGCAAAAAATTATAAGAAAAATGTTATCATTATGTAGGTGTCAATCTTTGGACAGAGAGAGGGGGCAGGTGGGGGGGGGGGGTTGAGGGCAAAGGTGGGGCATTTGAATTTTTTAGAATTTTTTGGTCAGATTCCCCACCCTTTAGACTGGAAAATTGTTCAAATCCGATAACATATCCCTTTCTGCGTTTAAGAAAACTGCAGTTTGGGGCAAAATTTGTGGTCAAAATCCCCAGGATTGGGACAAAGGAAGTGTTCAAATGTCGCACCTTTGCCGTACCCCCCGTCTCCGTCTAAACGTATTTGTACCTGCATCACAGGGCTGTGCTGTGGCAGAGCCTGGTGGCTGTCGGTGCCCAACTTTTGCTCTTGGGTGACTAGAAAATCTTAGTTTTTTCATACAAATCATATGCTGGTCACCCTAGATTTTACAGGTTCAGAGCACTGGGCTCCCTTCAATTTTCCTTAGAGCACAACCTTGCATTACACTGACAACTGAAGTACTTGAGAGATTGCTTATCGTGACTACTCAAATATTGCTTAAAGATTATCAACCAGGCATAGAATACAGTGATGAATGATGATTACAGATTTAAGACTTGTCATAAACTTGATTGGATAAGTCAGTATATGTTCTTTGTTTTGGTAGTGCTTTTTGTGTTGCAGACTAGCTAGTCCGATCACCAAATTATGTAATACAAAGGATTGAAAGACAGGAAACAATACCCAGACCATACCTAATAGGCTTAAACCAACAACAGTTTTTGCAACATCGTAGAAACACCCTTTGCTTTCATCAATTCAGTGCCTTCCAGAATGGTATGGGTTCAAATCCCGGCATTAACACCATATGTGGGTTGAGTTTGTTGTTGGCTCTCTCCTTTGCTCCAAGAGGTTTTTCTCCATGTACTCCGGTTTTCCCCTCTCCTCAAAAACCAACTTTTCCTAATTCCAATTCGACTAGATATTAGGTATACGAAGGACCAGTCAGTGGATGTGCTTCCTCTAAATTGTTATTTATTTATTTAGTTATTTATTTATTTTAATCACCAAGTAGCAATAATATTACTTCATGCCGATTTTAAACTTGAAAGCCTTATTTATTAATAATTAACTGTTAACAGCAGTATACTGTCAAATCGTCAGTTTTAATTTATTCCTGTAGTTGAAAAAAAGAGAATCCAAAGGATGAAGCGTGCTGGTAAAGATCAGCCAACCTTGGAAACTTATGAAACATTGGTGAGTTATTTGTCATTCTTACATACACATAGTGTTATTACCTTCTCTGTTCATCTTCAGTAATGAATGTTGTTGTTTTATTGGACCCCTAAGGCTCTTTCTCAGTGATACAAAAAATGGGCAATTTTATAAAGTATACTATTCTATAAACTAAGATTAAATTATGGTTTGTTTAGACAGTTAAGCTTAGAGCATTGGACAGTGAAATTCATGAGTGTGAAAATAAACTCCAACAAGATATGGCTGGTAAGCTCTTATAACTTATCCTTTTTGTATTCAAAATAATCTGTGGGTTGCGAGCACAATACCTGATTTCCAAGGGCAATGTCAAACTGCAATCAGTGCCAAACAATAAGTAGAGACACTTTTTGCCCTAAAGGCCCTTTCCGTTGTTTTGTGGCCTTCAAAAAGGGTAAATGAAGCTTTTCCTTCTCCACCCCCCTCTATGCAATGTTGTGCTGCTGTTTGAGGCACCTGCAGGGGACAAAACAACACCCCAACTTTGAATGGAGCAGAGTCGGGAGGGGGTGGGGGTGGATTTTGATTGTTTTGTTCTCTGAAGCAACTCCATTTGAGGACAATGTCTCAACAATTTTGTCATGGATTGTGATCTCCGGATTAATCAAGGATAGTGTTATCAGCAGAGGCCAAAGGCTGAGGCTGTTAACACTTACAGAGCCCTTGATTATTCCAGATGCCAAAAAATCCTCTTACCCTGTATTCAGTATTTACATAGTATCATTAATTTTGTTGTCATATTTGTTTGAAGCTAAGAGTGGATCCAACTCTGAAGTCTCTGCAGACTCTTTGGATGATTACATGAGCTCCCTTGGAACAACTATGGATAAGACATCTAGATCACAGATAAGAAGAAAAGTGTTTGACCTAAAAAAGGTGCTTTTTAATTCCCCAAAATCCTTTTTTAAGTCCCCCTCCCAAATAATCAGGGTTATAAAGTTATTAACCCCCCCCCTCTCTCTTATGCTTCCCTCCACTCCCCCTTATTCTTAAATGATAGACAGTATTAATACACTTCATGCAGACTGATCCAGCATGATTCAATTTGCTGAAAGTTAGGATTCGTTTTTGATCTGTGACTGGGGTAATAATAAGAAGATAATATTTTTGCCTTGTCATGTAGCAAAGAGAAAGAAAGATCCAGAAAGACTTATGTCTCACGAAGAAAAGTTTCAAGAGGGTGTGCTTGGATCAGTAAACACAATTTGTTTTCAGAGTCATATTTGAAGTCATTACAACAAGGGGTGACTTAGTAAAGCCTCTTAGTTAACTTTGATAAACTGCTTAAATTCTCCTACCTATCTGCTATGCATATGCTTTTGAATGAGAGGGAGAATTTGATATGGATCAGGATTCACCTGGGGACTTATTGCACTCAGTCACTCACTGTTTATTATTATGGGGTTGAGATCATGTGGGAGATTGTTGGGGCAGGCAAGGCTCAATGGAATTACTGGTATTGTAGATAAATGGTTATAGTCATTTAATCAGATTATTAAATAATTATTTCCACCACATTTCATAACAAGTTCCAGGGTATTGAACATTAAGCATCGGAGATCAGAGAATTCTCTGTTTACTATGCAGAATTCTTCGTTAAATGTTTGGTAGCCTATGAATATTTTTTTATTCAGACGTAGCCTCTTTCAAAAAATATTCTCCTGTAACATTACACGTTTCTCCTGATACAAGCAATTCGTAAGTTCTCTTTTGTTCATCTGCAGGAAAGGCAAAGTCTTGTGAAACTTTTGAATGTGGCTAAACCAGCAAGTCTGCCTCCAGTTGCAGAGTAAGTGTTAATGAAACTCATTTTAATCTCTCAAACCCCTTGCAGCCAGGTGTGATGTGTTATTCTGACTGTTAAGAATGTGAAAAATAAAGTTCTTTACTATGACACATCAAATTAAACCTAAATTAAACCTGGTTTATCAAATAAGAGGTTGGTGCAGTAATAGTTTCTTCATACAACAGTTATCTCATTGAGCTCCAGGTGAGCAGGTGAGAGCAGGGTTTCCTGTGGCATAAATGCATGCACTTTTACCCCACCTGCAGACAAACATCAACCTACCTAATTAGGTGGTATCTATAGTAAGCATGCTGTAGTATTATTAAAAAATAAAAAGCTTATTTTGTCTTTAACAGGTACTTTTCAGTAGTTTCTAAAAAAATGTCTTTGCATTTATCCAGGTCACCTTCAAATGAATCAGTTGTTAAAAATAGTAAGTATTTGAAGATATTAATATTTTAAATCTGAGGCCATGACGTCTGTAACTGGGATAGTCTGATCACTGTAAAGCAAGGATCATTGCTTTATTTTGATATCTCAGAAATATCAGTGTTCTTATCTCCTTTATCCTCGTTTAGGTGGGGTAGTTACAATGACAAAGTCTGAAACAAGTGATTGTACATCAACACCGACTGTAGAGCAAAATACAGATTCTCGACATGAATCAGTTGCTTTGATGGAAGGAAAACAAAAGGATGAAAGTTTGTCCAGGGAAAGCTCAGTATCTTCTGCAAGAGTCAGTGATAAAAACAGTCCAGAAAAAGAACAAGAATTTGCTGTTCCTGGTTTGCCTTCTTTAACCAGAGGAAAAAATAAAACATCTAAAACAATTTTAACAGAGGAGAAGGTAGTGGAAGATAAAGAGACTAATATTAAGGAAAAGACTAAAGATTCTGCAAAAGCTGATGAAGACAAGAAAGATGAAAGAAAAAGAGTTGGGTCGAGTGTATCAGCAGATGTGAAGGTCAAGGATTTAAATGAGAAGCCTGAAGAAAATGTAAGCATAAACAGTTATATACTTGTACATTACATGTACCTCACACTTGCAGCTTTTAGGTGTTACAGGTCAAATTTTATTTTAGGTTAATTTTGATTTAACCTGCTAGGTTATTTATAAGGTACTGTTAATGATACATGAAATAAATCATATCCACAGTTCATATATGATTTATTTCATATATCATTAACAATCATATATTTCATATATCATTAACACTCATTTCTTTCATGGGAACATATGAACCCAGAATTGACCTGCTCCCAACGTCAGTGGCTTCATAGCTCAGTTGGTAGAGCATCACACCGGTAATCGCGAGGTCACGGGTTCAAACCCCGTTGAAGTCCTGAATTTTTTTTCAGGCTTCTTTAGGCAATTGCATAAATTGCGTTCACTGCGACCATCATTTCTTCACTTTCATTTTATAAGGTACTGTTATCTAGTTATGCAGTAAGCCATATTACATTCTTATTTCATATATGTTTGTACTGAATCTAAGGTAATGCTAGCCACTTGTATCATAGCAGCTGCTCAGAAGAGAAGTCACCAATGGTGCCTAACCCTGATCCCAAACAATGCTGAAACAATATTGAAAGAATGACATGTCATTGTTTTCTGCGACCAATGAGGAGAGACCTTATGAGCAGCTCCTACAGAAACTGATCATATCCTAGTACAACACTACAGAGATCTGTGGTCACTTAATTTATAAAAAGAAATGTCTTAAGTCTTTATAAATTTTATTGTTTGTAAATTTGATTAAAGAAACCGACTGTATCAACAAGGGACTTTTAGTCTCCTTCTTCTAAGTGGGTCTGGGGGTGTGCTCCCCTAGAAAATTTAAAAAATTTTCGATTTCCTGACAGGCGATTTCCAGCATTCTGGGCACTAAATTGAGTACAAAAGATAATGTGATTCTGATCAGAATGAACATGTAATGCACAGAGAGGCTCAATCTTTTAATAAATATTTAACAATTGAAGCAGAGAGTATGTTTAAGTCCAGCAAATTGAGTTTTAAATTACATTTTGATAGAATCTTTCGTTAATTTAATGCTTCATTCCCAGCTTCCAATTTAGGGAAAAAAATTAGCCAACTTCTCTGAGTAAAGTAGTCAACTCTGTAGCGGGACTTGTTTGCCGCTTAAACCGCGCAAGATTCACGGATAATACAAAAAATCTTAACCAGGCTTGTTCTGGAAATCTTGTTTACTTCATTGTATTGTATCGTGAAACTGAAACGAAATTTACAGAATTAAAGAAGGCAAATAGCCAAAAACAAACATCAAAAAGGCGAACTAAAAGGCGGACTTAAAAGCGAACTTACATTATTGGCGGCGTTGTGAATTTCAATAAATGGACGTCCTTCTTTCTTTCTTTCAAAATGTAGTAAACAATCTTTACGAGTGCTTTTAGATGTATACGAAATAACTTAATCACGTGCAAGATAATTATTAACATTTGACTAGTCAAGGCACTTACGTGACAAAAAGGAGCATAACAAAATAAATCAACTCAACCTCTGATTCTCGTGCCTGGGGGCACTTACAAACTCATTTTGTCGGTTGCTGATGCTTATCGAAACCTGTTTGTGCATGTTTGTTCACTAGCTGAGCGTTCTGCTAAGTGCGCACACCCTTAATTTGTAGTTAAAGGAATTATTGGTTTGGTTGGATAGTTAAAGGCATTTTTTTGCCCAGGAACTTGTGGGATGACTAAGAAAATTCTAAGTTGAATGGAAATGTACAGCATAGGCAGTGAGGGATTTTTGTGTAAGATGATAAATATTTTCAAGAAGACAACACAACATCATGAATATTATATTACACCCTTTGTTTATTTGTTTTCTGCAAACCACTTAAATACTCCCCAAAATTTATATGTACGTGCAATTTTCTTTAGAATGAAGGAGTCAGCCCAAAAAAGAAGAAAAAGCGGATGTACAGTGCTCCAACTCAGTGGCAATCGGACAGTGACCCCACTTACACCGCCTGGATGCCTCCTGAAGGTGAGATCCCTTGCCTTCTTTGATGGAATGTAATACCACTCATAGCTATCAGTAACCTGCATCACTGACATACTTTAACCCTGGTTTGTACTGTCTATGAAGCCATGACTGTACTTGACTTGAATCCTTCTTCTCCCTTTCATCTCTTGTAAGCATTTGCTGACACTTTTTGAGCTAACAGTTATATAATTTTCCATTGTTTTTTAACCTCTTAAAAGTAACTGCTTGATGCATGGTCTGATCTCTTTGTTCGCTGAATGTACTACACCACTCAGAGTGTACAAAGAACTTTCCTTTATTAAAACTTGAAGCCACACATCTTAAACTTAAAAATTGCATGCAAGAAATTTTCTTCCAAGACAACGAAGTGTCCGAACCTCCTCTCAAAAGAGACCCCCTGTAGTTCAATTCTGGTTAGCGGCCACTACATTTTGGGTTGTCTCTTATGGGAGGTTTGACTGTATGTAATAATTGTTGCCTTAAGGAAACATCTGTTTATAATGCTTTGGATTTCTTATTACTTTCAGGTCAGACAGGAGATGGAAGAACCCATTTGAATGAGAAGTTTGGTTACTAGGAAATATCAGTTGCTTTCAATAAGCCGCTGCTGTTGGCATGAAAATACAAGTGCATTATTTTAATAATGGCACCTAAGATTTAAATGCATCTTTCTAAAGACAGGAAAATGCGGATAAAAGACTCGCCCATGATATGACAACTTAGACGCCAAAATGGAAGATAAAAATATTTAAGAGACATAAGTATATGTTGGGACAGTCCTGATTCCTTTTATGCTCACACATAGATGAGAACTTCCTAGTCATGTGTATTTAAGAGAAGGGTCTGGGCCTCTCTTGGACCTGGAACTTAAGGTAAAATAAGGCTCAATTTCCAGCTCTCAGAGAGAATCCAGTTGGCTTCCTCCTCTCAATGCCAAACATTATTGGAACATGTTGCAGAATATGGCTGATAATCAAACTAGGAAAAAAATATGATAAGGTTATATGGGTATCTGGAACTGATCATGTAACTTTGTCAGGTGGAGAAATGTGGATAATAAAAGCCCATTTTAAAGTTGTGGGCTTTGTAGCCTTAGTAGTCTTTAAGTGAACGGGAGGCTGAGTTTGACCTGGTTTTGATATGAACTTTTTTGGTTTTATTATGGAAATTATGCTTTAAAAGCACTAATTTGCATTAAAACAACACAATTTGCTTACGAAAGCAGAAAAGGTTGTATCAAAACAAGGTTTTAACCTAGAGTTAAAACTCTAGCCTTGTTTTCATCCATAACTGCATAATGAGCTATTGAGAAAGTTTGGTGTGCACATTTCCACCTGATGTAACTACCACATGCTTAACATGCTAATTCTCCTCGAGTATCCCAGTTACATCACAAATCTCCCAGTCTTGAGCTTTTCTGTTTTAGTCTCAAATTTAGCCTTTCCCCCCCAAAATACAAAATTACCCTTCCCCTTCCCTTTCGAATGCCTACCAAGTAGGCCAGTGACAGGAGCCCATAAGCTGTAGTGAGCAACTTCCATGTGCTCGTGTCACGGCATTTTCACGGACCAGTTTATTTTCAGAATGGTTTTGGCGCAAATTTTGAATATCTTTCAAATTCCACAAATGAGTCAGCAAAACCTACAGACCTAAAAATCATATTTTTTGCCTTTTTTTGATATCATATACTTCAAATGCGCTCATTGACATGGTGGAGATTCAATTTTCGTGGGAAAAAGTCCCCTAAAATGTGTCTAAAAATAAACTGGTCCATAAAAACGCCGTGACATAGGCCTAGTACGGGAGTTGCTCGCTCTGGGTTATGGGCTTCAGCCTGCAAGTCTGCATTTGTCGCACACCACAGAGACCCACAAAGGTTGGCATCTTTGCACATAAGAACACGTGAACACAGTGGTAATAAGTAACTTAAACACAAGGATATTATTGCGTTTTTCAAAATTTTTACTTGCTCTTTATGCAGGGGGACTCAATATCCGTACAATTCAACCCCCCAATACACTGTTTTCACCGATGTTGTTATGCAATAAGTCTAAAAGAGACCTTGGGTCGAAGACATTGCAGTCAGACTTGTTATGACGTCAAAATTTCCCCCAAACTATTTCAAGAAGTCTTTCAACTGTCCTTATTATCTTCTTCCGCCTTTTCCAACAACAAAGATCTTATTCCAACCTTCTGAAGTTCTTCGATCAGTTCTCCGTTCTGATGCAATTGTAGCATGATATCGCAACCACCGAGAAACTCTCCACCGACATAAACTTGTGGTATTGTAGGCCAGTTAGAATATTCCTTAACTCTCTGTCTCAGGTCTTCGTCCTCTAGAACGTTGTAGCTGCCGTAGGTTTCAACTCCATGCATTTGAAGGATCTGCACCACGGCGTTACTAAAACCGCACATAGGCTGCCTGGGAATTCCTTTCATGAATACCACAACTTTGTCTTTTTTAACGACCTCGTCGAATCTCTCGTTTGTCCATTTCTCTATCTGATCACTGAAATATCTCAGGCGACTTGTTATACATAAAGTGACAGGACTAAGGCGAAGAGAGTTGTTAACAATTCTTTTCGCAAGAAAGGCAGCCATCTTGAATAATGACTCGTACCAGTCTTCGTCTAAAAATTGTTTATTCACAATATTTGACCTGACGACGAATGCAGCCCGAGACCGAGTGCATTAATGAGGGGCACCCAACGAGAATATAGTTCAAACCCTCTTAAACATAGCATTGTCAAACGTATTTTAGTATTAAAACGGTAGATATAGGCATATTTTTATCCCCTAAAAAATTTTCATCTGTTCGGATTTCCTAGCTGAAAGTCTAGTGATCCGAAAGCTCTAGTGATCAAAAATAACCTTGTCGAAAATTTCAGCCAGAAAAAAGGCTTCCGAAAATTCTAGGTCACCTTTTTAGGGTAAAAATCCGTTAAAAATGGGCGATTCTACCAGTTTTTAAATGTTCGAAAATCCTAGGAGAGGCAGGCAAGCAAGAAATTTTACAACAAATGTGAACAGATATTTTCCAAAACTATTGGCGTTGGGTGCCCCTAATTAATGATTAATTCAGTTTCTCAATACTTGCCAATTTCCTGTTAGGATTTTTCTTTTGATGGCGCGAATATTGTTTTAAAAAATTAAGATATCAGAGGTAAGTTGCGTTCACGACTTCATAAAGTGCTCTTCGGACCATGTACTTCCGTATCGCACGTGCAAAGCACGCTTTAAAATTACCTTTGGAAATGTGGAAACCTTGGTATGGACTCTGTGGTTGAGCACCAAACTTTTGGCCTCCAGTAAAAATATAACGAGAAATTTCGATAATATACACAGTCAACTGACCGTCTAGCCTGTGAACAGCTAACATGTTTCCTTCAACTTGAGCTTTCTTACCTTCTGCAAACTTTTTAAAGTTTGCATGAGTGGTGACTCACAAATAAGGAGGTGGGGAAAGACATTCCATAATGGATGCTGGTTAACAGCTACCCTTTTATGGCTTAAGGGAGAAAGGGATTTCACCAATTGAGTTAAAGAAAAAGGTATGAAAGCGGCATTTATGAATCATCATCTCCACTGAAGAGAAGCACTAGACTCCACTAGACTGGGTCCACACTCCCGAGGCCGAGGGGCCGGGGACGAGGAAAATTTTATGTATTCAGTCTTACCAACAGGAAAATATCGGAAAAATCTGTTTGAAAGCGCTGCAACGTACTGAAAGCGAGATTGCAGTCACAATATTGTCGAAATTCTATTGTCTGCCCTTACTTTGAAATCTAGTGATCCATAGTTCCAAGAACTCACTCCATTCCATTCCTTCACTTGAGTGAACTTGACAACATCAGGTGATAACCTTTTCTGTCAGTTGTCAGACTCTTGTGATGTTGATGCAGGACCGCGCAACGTGATAGGATGTGCCAGTTCGAGAAAAAAGGATAAAAAAGTTGACATACAGTATTTTCTTTCTATCTTCCACAAACTTCTCTTAAAGCAAAAATAATTAAATAGGTGAAAATTCAGTTAAGTTTATTGGTGGTGTTATGCAATTGAAAAGAGGGAGTGTGAGGGGGGAGGGGAAAGGAAACTTATCGTCTCGACTCGAAATTTCAAATTTATTTAAATACAATATTCTTCGGCTAGATTCTCTAGTTAAGGAACTTGTTTATGAGTAGAAAATACCTTCTTAAGTGTTCAAATTCCTGTTGTTATAGTTGCGTGAGCGTATAACATATGAATAATATTTGAAAGCGGTTGCACAATTTTCGCCAAAATCCCCGTGTTGGGCAGGGTGAAAGTACATTGCGGTGACCTAATCGCCATTTGAATATTTCTCAAGAGCATTGAGGCGTTTCCGTCTGACAAATACCGAAGTTGTTTGGTTTTTACGGTTCTTGCCGGCAAAGAGAGGATGGGAGGACAAGTCTCACGGAACGACTTTGAATGGTCTTACACAGCTGAGCCACATGCTTCGCGGAGAAAGGAGATTTTGGGTAAGAAAAGTGTTTCACTGGAGAACTTAATTGCCCGATTGGCGATTTGATTTTGGCTTTGTCAATCTGCCTGCAGATTTCTGTCCTGACTACGTTTAATTGACGGGCTCTAGTACGCTCTTTCTTTGGACTCTTATTATGTAAGCGTTCACTGAAAGTTGCTACCAATTTACGAGTCGATGAACTAGAAGCAAATTGTACTTTCCCTTTATATATATGCGTATACATGAGCGCCAGCTGCTTGCTATCAGCAAAGCTGTTCAGCGAACACATGGCGGCCGGTTTGAACAGTACTAGTAAGTAGTCATATTTCAGAGGAAGAATGAAAAAAGTAGACTCGAATGTTAAATCCATTGTGGCTCAGAAAAAATCCCACAATATTCGCGATGTGCAACTCAGAGCGGTCCAAATTTTTTAATGAAAACAAAACAACCACCCGGCTCCGCTAAACTGTAATTGTCTAAATATTCTTTAATACCAGCTAGTTGAGTGTATCGGGTAAATATTCCTCACTTTATTTAAATATATCGTTCACAGAATAGCATGGCTATTAAATGCAGAAGGCAGGAGTTGCTCATTTCATTTATCTATCTCGTTG